TATAACAAATGTTAAAAGCATCGGAAAAATTTTACATTATCTGGGATATAGGATTCTTACACGAAAGAGGTTACCATGTAAAATTCTATGATCAATGTCCTATAAAATCGTGATTGGCGGCTATACAAGATATTAAATTGCGTCATATTTATGTATTTACAAATTATATAATGTATAGATTTAATCGAACACATATTGAGTATCAACAACAGAGATATATGATGAATAACAAATCGAATAATTAATATGATTTATCCGCGATAAAGTTCAAAGGTTCCTATTCATATCCATCGCATAAAATTTACAACGTATCATGCAATCGTGAAGTATCATACATTTTGTGTGCATATTCTGTGTGCTTGTTATTCTAGTATAATTCTGCTGTATTTACCGTCCTATTACCTATTTTTCGTTCCCAAATAGAATTTAATTACAAAATAAACGTAACAATCAATCGTATTAATATTAAAATTTCATATACATATTAATCATGACATTAACTGCGCAGAGCAAAGTTTAGAAAATTCACAGATGAAGAGTCATTCTGTTATAAAATTTACCAAATTTAAAAAAAAATATAATTTAAAGAAAACATGTTTTTTTATTTCGAGATACTATACCTACAGAATAATCAAAATCCGTCAAAGCCAGAGTTTAGAATAATCCCGACTATTCAATGAAAAGGAAAATGTATGCATATTTATGTATCAAGGTATCCGGCATCATTCTTTTTAGATCTCGCATTTTTGCATGATAAATATATCATGCTTCTTTTTAATTTCGTCTCTTTCGACATAAATCTCAACGGGTTCCGGAGCAGATTATTGATATTGTAGCCGCGATAATCGGACCGGATGTCTTATCACTTATCACGCGCGTTTCACAGAAACTTGCGGAAGATAGGTCAGTGAAACTAAACGGAAAGATTATCAAAGAAAGAGTTATTAGATGACATAAGTCATGAAAGAAGGGGCACTCCGTGACGGTTTCTTTTCGATGAAATTAAAGTGGGACGACGAGAAGCTTTATCAAGAGAGAGAGAGACACGGGTGTAAAAAAACAAATCTTATATACTGATAAATACGGAGCGTAACGTTTAATGGAATTTATTGCGATTGAATACCATAGAATGATTGTATATATAAACGTGAAAAATTCCTCACAAACCGAGTGAGCGATAAGCGAAATAAAATCGCGATGCAATCGTATTGTAGATAATTGTATGTACGTGCCAATATATAACGCGAAAAATGTAATTGTAGAGAAATGAAACAAAGAATGAGAACTCCAGTTTGAAATATTTAATTATTACAGATGCATGGGTCCGTGTTAAAAAAACATAAATAAAGTAAAAAGTAGAAGTACGTAAAAAACTTTTTCTATGAATCATTGGGGTTAAGTACTATGGAATTAAATATTGATTACTCAACAGACAAAAGATTCAGATTTGACTTGAACGAAGAACAACTTACGGAAGAAATAAAAAATTTTTTTAAAGTAGACAATGTTGTAATAGAAATTTATATATATATTGCAAAAGTAATCTTTATAAATGACATGAATGACAATTCCATCCCGACATTATTTATATCTATTTCTGTATGTTTCTGTTTAATAACAATTTAATTCAATTTTTATTATTGCGTTAATAAAGGTCGAAAAAGGGATCATTCACTTACTGTAGATTTATAATAAATTTATTTGCGCCTTATGTACTGCGCTAGCTCCTATTGTCTTTTCCTTATATTGAATTTATCATTATCGGAGCCTTTTATGAATTATTTATCTTTATAAATGCGCAATCGTTTATAATATACAGAGACAAGAATTTAATAAACGTAAAAAAAATCGCATAAATGTTTCCAATATGTTTCTACAAAGCTACGAATACGTGCTAATTATATTATTCATAATAAAAAAGTGTTCAAAAAGTAATGTAACGAAACAGTCATCCCACAATGATTTGGCTGTTGCTACTCAAGAACGAGCGGTGAGAGCGTCGACGGAATTTACAAGCGAGAAGATTCGGCGACCAGTCGCACGACCGGTCGCGTGAAATCGCAAATGCAATGTAATCGTTCGCCACCCACCACGTGACAAATCACGGCGGCGACGTCGTGAAAAAACGCGAGTAAGACCGTGGACCGTAGGCCCGCGCCAATGCCACTGAAACTCGATCGGGAATCTACAGGGTGTCTCGAGCTGTATTAACCGTACAAGAACGAGAAAATCCTTATACTAATTCGAATTTATTTATACGAGTGACGGGAAATCCATTAATTGTGTCACGACTTCCGGAAATAGATTCTATCGATAAATCGCCGTACAAGCAATCATTGTCTCTCATTTTATACGAAAAATTTCAATGGTGATAATGTGTCACGTTCGAATTTATAGACGATATTATATATATATATATTCAATGTCGTCTACAAATATTATAATTACAAACTTATTTGCTTTTTTATTATAATTAAAAATGTATTCAATATCTATTATTTAAATAAAAATATAATTACGCCCAACTACTTTCGAAGAAAGTAAAAAACCGATGATCATATGTTTAAAGTTCATGTGTTTACGATTATACAAATTTGTATTTACAAACATATTGTACAACATGTACAAATATTTATTTACCAACCATTTTTCCTGCTTGTATTGGCTTATCAATTTTTATTTTCTGATTTTCTAACGATTTATATCTTTACTTTCTGAAGACCTTCGATATATATATAATTTGCAAATATCAAAATTAAAATTAGCAGATTAATAATTACTTTTAATCCAAATAATCTAGTCTTTTTATTGTGTAAGATAAAATATGAAGTAGATAGCGGATTAAAACAAAGCTGAGAATAGCGGCAATAACAGAAGCCCTGAACTTGAAGAACTAATAAAACAATGAGAGAAATGCTAAAAATTTTCAAAACCTGAAATAAAAATATTTTTAAAACTCATCCCCATCTTGAGCATATTTATGTAAGACACTTCGCAAAAGATAAAACTCATTCGTATTCAGGAATCCTGAAGTATTGATTTAGTATAGATCCCTTGATGTATATAACCCGCGGGATAAATAGGGCTAAGGAAAAAGTGTCATTAACGTTAATGATCGACTATGGTTCATCGGCGATTTAGCTCGCTTCTTTTTTAGCGCAAGCCATGCGCGCGTCACAGAAGATCGATCGATCACGATAGTTCCCGATAGGGCGTATTAAAAAATCGATCGTTCGAGCTGGAGCCGCGACAGGATAATAAATGTTAAAATAAAAGATGTCGTATATAACTTTTACTCTAAGTAGCCAATAAAGATGTTATAGAAATGCAGATGTAGATATTTAGAAAGCAGTATCGTTTTGAATGCTCTTAATATGTAAACCAAAAAAAATGAAAAATGTGTTTTCTAACGAAAATTTAATAATTCTTTTTATTATATTATATATATGAAATTTATAAACTATTATATA